AGAAACGTGGCGTCACACTAGTCATGTGACTCGCTGACGCAACAATATGATGTGCATAGTTCTTTCTAGTTATTTATTCACTTATTTTTACAAATACAAGTAACATCTCTTCGCTTAGCAATCTTCATAATAATGCCAGTGAATATTATTTCGGGAGTTCTGTGTTATTTTGAATATTTATATTTGTAATAGTAATCTGTAAATGATAATGGTAAGATAAACTGTGCGAATGGCAATATCTTGATGAGGAGCTTGGTAAAGTGATGATGTTTTATCAAGAAATGCCCCCTCCCCCCAGTGAGTCAGCGGATTTATAACGCTAAAATCTGTGATTCAATTTCCCCATGGTGGACAAAGCGCAGATATCTCATTATGTACCGTTGCGTTAAAATAAACAAACAAAATATCCAGAAACTTTATACAACAAACTTAAATGGGTTTATTCTCAAATACTAAACCAGCACCTTAAGTGTATGATATATAAAAACTTTGATGGAATTTTCTTTCCGAAAGAAATATCTCACAAGATATTAGAAATATATTTGTTAAAATATGTGAAATTAAAAACAATTATAGCCCATTGTGTAGTTTTGTGGTTCACAACAAACATAAAACAAAACTTAGTCATGGTTACGTCATTAGAAAGGAGTAACATTTCACCTTTCGTGAAAGCATTTCTGAAGTCCCTCGGTTTGACAGCGGTACGTTTATGGACTTACAACGGTAAAATCCAGGGTTCAGTTTCCTATGGTAGACATAGCAGATAGCCCGGTGTGGCTTTGTTCTAAAAACAAATATAAACCTTTTCTGGATCATCAAAAAAATACACTTAAGTTTACTCCTTCTTTATTATTTAGCATATTATTAATTCTATATACTGAGTCGCTAATTAGAAGCGCTTCATTACAATATGGAAAACACTAGACTTCGTTAGATAAAATTAGTTTGATACTATAAACTTACAATAGAAATATATTATGATCCTTTTATTTTGAAATATAAAATACGAAAAAGTATATGAAATTTAGCTCTTATATCTTGAATTATCTATTACTTTGAAAAGTTCCCCATTTATGCTGTCCATATATAATCATTTGTATGCGCTTTCTGTTATGTTACAGAAGACGAAACAAATCTAATAATATATTTATTAATATAAGTAATAGCCTTTTAAACCACAAGTATTAATTATTGCAAAACAAATATATTTTGCAATAATAAATAATTGTGGTTTAAAATGTGTATTACTTATATTGATTAAATTCCACAAGATATATGAGTAAACCAATTAATATATACTAATTTTCTACCAAATATAATCATGTAAATTCTCAGACATTATACTAAACAGTAACACTAGTTTAAAAAATGATTTCATTCATAAAATCATCTTTCCTTCACCTTGTAGAAAAATTTTGCCAGATGGCACACTTTGCGGAGCCAACAAAAAGTCTATTGGCAAAGTTCATGTATAGGCTTAGAAGAAAGGAACGGAAAGAACTCTAACGTTGAACAGTCGTTGATAGCTACGTTAGAAGATCTGTTGTCATGGAATGCCCACACTTGATGAATTGTGTGAAGGTTACTAATTTACCATTAAAAAATGAAAATTCTCCGAATGACTGGGTTTGCTCAGGTAAAAAAAAAAGAATAAAAACATTGAAAGCTTGCTATGGTTTATAAGAAATGTAATATAAAAATTAATTGTGATAACTTAACTACAGTTGTACAACTAAATGTTGCGCTAGTATTAGTATAATATTTCTAGGCTTAGCCTTAAACCAGAAAAAGATGTGAACGCGTTAACGGCAACGCGGCTGGCTTTTTGTCATTGCCGCAGTAGTATTAGTAGTAGTAGTTGATAGGACCTAGGCCAAGAATGTTTAGAAACGGATCGAAATAATGGTTTTCATTTCATTGAACAAGACTTGTATATGTTGTTTTATCGCCATGTATTATTTTAACTGTCAAATACATGACTTAGTAATATTGAAAAGTTACAAACTTTATTTTTAGAATAATAAATAGTATGATTTAAAATATGTCCATTGACACTGACAGTTGTAATGATTAGTAACTAAGTGTCATTAATAAGGCTTTTTGTTGAAATATTAACATTCAAACTTTTGGTTTTTAGTAACCCCTTCGATGTAATATCAGATTTTATTCCCTGTGTAGAATTGTTTGTTTGTAATTTTGTTATAGTGTTGCAGTTTTTGCTACATAGTTTCAGAGCCACATAAACAAAGGTTGTGATTCTGAATCTTTATTTTGTGATGTGATATTCATTTATTTGTTTGTAGCACTAAAGAGCCACTTTTATGAAATTCTTTTAACTCTATTACTGTCATATACACAATTTATTCTTCTTTACAGGCATCCAATATTGAAAACTTATTTTGAATAAATCTGAGGCTTCACTTGCATTCATTGCTTTGATTTTATTGAAATGATGGGGGGGGGGGGGGATCTTGTACAAGTGAGAGCATAGTTGATCTTGTTTGTTTGTGTTTTTATTGTTGTTGTTGTTTTGAAGAATTAAAACAGCAGTTGTTGAAAAAGCTCCACTATTTATCAAAAACTTCTGTGAAAGAATGTAAGCTTGCTGAAGATGTCTGGTAGTCCATTACATTGTCATGTTATCTAACCACTGGAAATATTGAAGATTCTCCAAAGGCACAACTTAGGCTTAGCCAAGACAAATACATCTGTATGGGGTTGAGGGAAAGAAGGGATAGTAATATGCCATAGCTGTATATGGCAGGGTACACAAACATACAGATATCATGCTGTAGGTCCTATGGCCTAATGCAGTGAAAGGTTTAAAATCTAAAATTATGAATGTGGGCACTAATTATTGCCCTGTTTATATGAAAAATGTTTACTAATTTTCACACACAACTTTGATACAAGTATAACTGACTATAAAATATAATTTTAAAACTTTAACAAGAATTTTTTTTTTTCGTTAAAGAACCAGTAGGCTGTATGTTTCAGTAAATTAGTTTAATAATGGAAAGTTTGAATTAAAGATTCTAATATTCATATTTGTTTTTGATAACTACAGAATGGTGTAGTGAAAACCAGATAAAAACAAACAGGTGTAATATAATTTTTAAGACTCCTATTCAGTGGTTAAAGAAGAAGTTAAATGAAAAGTTTTATTTTTTATTTCTAGAGTGGTAATGTATTAGAGACATTAATCAAATATTTATTTAAAATAAACTGAAATCCAACATTTAGGGTTTTCCTTAGGCAGGATTACAAGCTAGCCTGAATTCTTTCAAAATTTAGTTTTTTAATATATAATTACAATTCTAGTTTTCCAAATAGACAGTGAATATGAAATTAAAGACATTAATTAATAACCTTATCAAGTTGGACAGCTTTTTTATCAAATTTTGATTCTGATGGTCTTAATAAATCCAAGCTTTAAGCACAAAACTTTAATTGGTTATGTAAATTACAAATCTATGAGAGAAATAATTCTGCCTAGAAGCATATGTGCATCTGGGTTTCTAAAGTTTATACTTATTTCCTCTTAGTGGTGGAGGAAAGACTTCAAAATGGGTAAATTAGAATTTCTAGTAAAGTGGAGGATACAGAAAGAAATCACAAAACCTATTATTTGAGGGTAGAACAAAGATACTATGAAAATGTCATAGCTCAAAAGATCAAATTTGATACAAAGGATTTTACTTCATATGAACGGCAAAAGAGAGTCACAGGTATTGGTGGATGTGGTAAATTTAAAGAAGTTAGTGGAAGGCTCTATAAATATTTAAGAGAACTGGGCTTGGTTTGAGTTGTTTTTTTTTAAGTGGATGGTACAACCTCAGTGAACCAACAGGGCCCTTGTCCTTAAATGTTATTATACTGAGGAAAGGAAAATGTTTGAAGTGCTAAACGATTTATTTACAAGTTTGTTTTTACTGATGGAAGAGGAGTTATCTAAGCTGATCAATTTCTTTCAAAGTTTCTACTTTCTTTCATTTATTTTGTTTTACAAAAGTTGAGAAACTTCCATAGTTTTAGCCTCAGCCCTGGTAAGATTTACCTTACAAAGTCAGGGATAAACTTTGCAAGGAGGTCATGGAGGTTTTTGTATCTTTAAAAAATCAGTTCACATCAGGGAAATTTTTAACGATTGAATGTCGATGAAATCCATATTTTTAAAAGGAGTTGGTAGACTTATGATGTTATAGGTAGTTTTACTTTTGTTGTTAGAATCTGTTATTATTAGAAATAAATAAAAGTAACATTTGAAAAGTTTGCATTAAGCAACTACTCAGGATGGTATTAGATGATTTCTGGTTAAAACAATTATCTTTTTGATTGAGCTTCTGTTTGTTTGTTTTTATTTTTATGAGGGCATATCTTGCCTTCTAGAAATTTTATAAGGAGCCATTAGTTATGGAGTAGTATATTGGCTTGGTGGGAGATAGCAAAGTGGGGTTACATATAGGCATTTTTCTTATTTTCCTGTTTTGGGATCTTTGTTGTTTACATTAGCTACATGCTTAGCAAATGATATTGGAAAAGGTTGATACACTTAAATATTTCTCTTATTCAGTAGGATGTGGGCAATCATGGTGATTGGTATAAAAATGAGTTTGTTTTGAAAAATATAATGTAATGCACATAAGATATGGAAATTTAGAAAGGACTTGTTTCTATGAGAAGAGCATTGGTGTTGTCGTTAGACATGGTTACTTACAGAAGCTCAAAGAAGTCATTTTAAAGTTTATTTGTGGTGAAAAGAGCTAATAGTTCTGTAACGTTTTGAATTTAAAAGTAAGGTTCCTTGTAATTTTCCATAAGGCTGGAAACTGTCATACTACAAGAAGGATATCAACAGCTGAACTGAAAAGAGAAACTTGATTTTTTTCAGGAGTGTAGAATTAAAGTGGACTTGATTACAGTGCTTAAAACTGTTATGAAATGGAAATATGAAAATGTTAACCTGACAATTAGGGGTAATATGTTTATGCTTTTGAAGTTTAGATTTAGGCTTATTTTGAAAAATTATTTTCTTTGAATTTGTGTGATGGTTTGCTCCATGATGTAGTGTACACCAAGCTTAAAAGTCCTCCAGTGGCTCAGTGGTAACACTGAAAGCTTATAATGCTAAAAACTTAGTTTTGATATCCATGAAGAGCACAGCACAGACAGCCCATTGTGTAGCTTTGTATTTAAACAAAGAAACCATGCTTAAATATTTGTTAGATATGACTGTGATTAACTACATTTAAGTTGGTGGATGGAGAGATTATGTTAATGGGATACATGGTTCTCTGTCTCACTTTTATTATTGTTTATATTGATTGTAATACTGAAATTCTGAAAGACTGCTTAGCAGGAAAAATAGCCACACTTCAAATTTTGTAACATAGCAGAATGCAAGCATTATTTGTATGGTTTAATATGAAACACAAGTTTCAGAAAAATTAAATCTGAGACGTATATGGCAAGTAGATATAGAATGTGTGTTTCATATTCAAAAATTAAGAAATTCTGCTTAAGAAAAGTGATTCATATAACGATGAAAAAGGGATTCTAATAAAGTTAGTGATCATCAAGTCAGTCTTCTGAAGTTTATAGCTTATTATCCAAATTGTGCTCAGTGCTACACTTGAAAAAAAGTTAAATCATTTAAAAAGTAAATATTTTTATCTTTATTTTATTATAATCTTGTTTTTAGTCATATTTACATTGTTTCTTATTGTTAGGAAAATTAAGAATTACAAATTTTTCACTCATGTAAAATTCTAAATTTTTATCTTTCATAGAACTTATTTTAGATGGTACAAATCTTGAGTCTATGTTTCATGTTTTTTGTGTGTGAATGAAAATTTTTGTTTATTTGACATTTTATTTCATTTAGAGTTAGGATACTGTTTCTGTTGTGATGGTTAGAAACATTATCACCAATATTACCAGTAAAATCAACACTTTCAAAGTACAGTTAGGGGTGAATCATTCAGTAGTTGCACAGTCTAGTTAGGAAAGCTTTGTTATCTCATTACTATACATATCAGAGACTAAGTTTATGGTCAACAGGCAGCACTGCTTTGTGTGAACATTCACCACTTACAGTAAACCTATTTTGCGCATAGTGCTGCAATCTAATTAGGAACCTTGAATTATTTATTGTAAATAGTTTTCACTGCACTCACTAGATGGTGCCAGCTAAAACATTTTATATATTTTCTTGGTCTTCTTTCTATATACAAGTATATGAAAGAGGTGCAGCTAGAACTGAAGTTGATATGTTCAATTTCTAAGCTCTGTAATTCATATGATGGGAAACATAAATAATTTAGGAAGAAAGTTAGGAAAATAATTATTGTTAAGAGTAGGAAATATTTTTTACTAATAATGAAACTACAAAAAAAATTCAGTTGTAATTATTCTAGGTAAGGTTTTAACTATTTTGGAAAATGCATGCATTTAATGCTACTGGAATGACTAACCACCTGAACAATTGCAAGAAATGCCCTAATGAAGTTAAAACTATCATTAAGCCTAATTGTGTGCTAGAGCAAGAAAGTATTGGTGACAAAATAATTACTTTGTCATAGCCAAGAAACTCTACATTGTTAGTTCTATCTTTATCGATACCCTACCAGTAAAAGT